AATGTCAAGTCTCCCCCACATTCCAGATCCTGAGCCAGCAGTACAGCTGACAGCAACATATCCTCACTCTCCTGTGTTGCAGGGACTTCAGTGACACCTGCCCTGCTCTTCTCAAGCATCTAACTCCTTTTATTTGCACTGCCCAACCATACAACATGTTATTAATACATCAGCACTGACCTCAGATAAGGCAGGTCCCAAGCAAGGTGAGGAAATCAGACCCAATACAGTTCTGTACAAAGAAAATTCTTCCCTTTCTGCGGACCAACTGGTTTGCCCTGCTGCCTGATACAGGAGCTAATTACCACAACTGCAGAAACTCTGTACACGCACTCACCTCTCTGCCTGATATCCTCAGGTACCAGGAGAGTATTAAAAAAAATAAGAATTATAAATTCTATGATTCTATGAATACTAATACAGAATATTTTCCCTGCACTCTGTAAATCAGGGCTGCTTCAGGGCCCAAACTGAACCACTCCATACCAATGCATTAAAATAAAAGGGCTTTAGATTCAGCTCAGAAAGTAGTATTTAGGCTAAAATAGACAAAGCTATTCCAAACACATCACACTCTGGATAATTTTTTTTGGAAACCAGAAGTGTCAAATCATGCTTGAAGTAATTTCTGTGCTGTAACTGAACACAGACAAGGAGGAACACATCTGGTGCCTGGGCTGTGCAAACGTATTTATAATTAAGTAGAACTGAATACCAAAATCCAGCAAAGATAGAATTCATTAGGCTAGCATAATGCTGTATAATTACTTCCTTTTTTTATATCATCCACTGTATGCTTTAAGAGCTCTTTTTACCCACTGATATCAATGTGCCATGACATATTTACGTACACCCTGTATAAAAGGTTGAGGAAATGTTAACATGTCAGAGATGACATGGAAAGGCGATTGTTGTACAATAACTACACTGTCAGTGAAACAAGAGGAAACTATTTTAAATTCATTCCCTGGCATGAATGTAACTCTATAGATAGGTACTGCATTTACATTTTGTAAGGAAAGGTGCTCCTTTCTAGAATAAGGACAAGATCTAACATGACAAAATCAATACATCACCTTTTTCCATCATACTTCCTCAGCTTGCCTGCCTTGCATTACTGGCCCTCCACCGAACACACCATCCACTGATTTCCACACCGACCTTTCTAAGCATTGCCCCGACGTGTTTCCTCACTGAAACTGTTTCCACACATTACCGCTCAAACCTTAGATTTGCAAAAAACTGCCAGCAGGCAATTGCTTCTCTGAGCCTCCGCATGACTTCCTTTGCTCTACTTTTTTTCCTACCAACCCTGGCCAGGTATTCTGCAACTCCCACCAGACAGCCCAGCCACCTTCCTGGGCTGTAACACAGAGTGCTGCCATCGGCATTGGTCCTATCAAAGCATCCAAATTCCATGGGACACCAGTGAAACCCCAGGGGCTCCACCACCAAGTTTGGCACTGACAGAAACTTGGGCTGACACCAGTAAGAGCGGCTTGCAATGCTTCTTTAAAAAGTGTGTCAGGTATCAAAGACATTTGCCATCACTGTCCTAGGTCCTTTTTTTCATGTAAAGCCACCGACTACCTCACTAAGGTACTCTCCGTCTCCTTCTCATTGTACTTGCTTCTCTTCATCGACCATATACAGAAGTATAGGACCTACCTAAGAGGTTAGTTGCTAAGGTTAATAATGACAATGCTGCTCTTGGAGATGGCCTTGTGATAATGCCCATGCAGCCCAGCAACAGTAACAGCATTTGCATCAGGCTCAGCAGGCGATCGTGGAGACAGCATGGGGCTTACAGACCACCTCAAGGGATGAAGTAAAACCATCTACAGCTGTGCTGTCTTCCCCTTCAAACACTGGCCAGACACCTACCTGATAATAGCTCTCTCTCCAAAGCTGTAGCTGCAGAGACAAGAAAATGCAGACATAAGAGCAATCTGCAGGGACAGCAAAAAGATAGCTGAAACCAATTACAATTTCCACTTATTTCACATCAGCCTACAGCTTTCTAAAAAAAAAAAAAACAAAAAAAAAAACAAAAAAAAACAAACACAAACCAACAAACCAACACTGGCTCTATCCAGCCACTTCATTTCCAGCCCTCTACTGTTTGTGGAAGTTATTTGAGCTGTGTGCCTGCAGGCTCAGGAGGCACTGCTCTGCATTAAATATATATTGAGTTCATAACCAAAATAGTTTCTCTGAAGTGGCATTTTTATTGTAAACTGAACCTGCTAAAGTTCACACCTAAGTTTCCTTCAGACAACAGAGAAAAACTGCAAACAGCCAAAAGGAAGATTAAAATCATTAAACCAAAATTTAAAGGATGCAGGGTCATCTTTTAAAGGGAGAAGGCTTGAGCAGAAACAAGAGAATAACATGTTCTTTCTATAAACTACAGTATACAGAAAGTTTACCTTTCAATAGTTCCTAGTATAACTAAGAAATGCCATATTTTTAACAATCTTAGGACTGAAAAGACATGAATGATACGATGAAAAGAGTATTTTTAAACTCTGCTGGAGCAGGACAAAAGTTAGGCTGTAATTTGAAGAAAACAAAAGCACTTGTTTAGTAAATAAGTGTGGATGAACTTTTATTTCTTTTGTCTTCATAGTTTTCTAATTAGCTATGTTGACAAAGATACTTTAAACAGAACTATTCCAAATTTTACATCATATTTCTTTTCTTTCATAAAAAAAAGCATAAAGGAACAACAAAAGCATCCTAAACCACAAAAATAGTTTTAAAATTCATAAAACGTAAAACTTCAATAAAGAAACTGCCAATGATCACTGAGGAAGGATTTTTTAGATTTGCTTTCACATGTAATTATAGGAGAGAACACCAATTGTTCACCTACATATTCTTGATACAGAGCAATCAAAACACCAGCAGCCCAGGAATACATAGCAGCATTTTACTGCTCACAGCTTTTTTACAAACCTTCAAAAACATTCAACCTGCAATTAGCCTATTGTGTAAGGTGTCAAATGCCCAGAAAGATTCCCATATTTCCGCAGTTTACTCTTAACTGACATCAAGTGAAAGAATACCTACAAAAGTGATCAACAAAGCAGTACCACTATTCAAAGGGGAAAAAACCCACAGTTTGGGGAATGCAAAGGGTCCCATTGCAGGGAGTGACACAACCTCCAATTCCTAGCAGTGGCCAGGGGCCACCCTGGGACAACACCTCTCCTGTCGAGGCCAAATGCACAGTGGAGTTAGCCACGTATCTGCAGCCATGTCCAGGCTTCCTGGAAATTCTTGACCACTGTGGGTTGGAGCCTGCACAGTGCTAGGGAAGGCAGCTGCCCAGAGCTGGCTGCTGCTGGCAAAGGAATCCATGCAGCTCCCTCCCAGATATCTACTTCTCCAAGCAACACTTGCACACAAAGCAAAAAGCAGACTGGAAATTAGAGGACTTGTGTCCTGGCAACCTGTTGGAAGACAGTGCCTTTCCCAAGGGCTCTGCAGCCCTTCCTGCCTCCCATGGCAGCTGCATCCCTCAGATGCTGTGTAAATGCCTAAATTTTTCCTAAGAGGAAAGAAAAGCAGGTCAGACCACCTTCACAGGCTAAATACAACAGCAGGACTGAGGCATCAGCATCCCTCTTAGATATCTTTTATGTCCCATGCTATTGAAAGTCATTGTATCTTTCAAATAAGAAAATTTAACTCTGTAGAATTTGCAATGAACAAAAAATATGGTAATTTAAATACCTGCATGTAAGCCTGAAAGCCTAAATATTCTACTGTAACATCCCACAATTGGCAATTAAAAGAAATAAATCAAAAATGTAAGACCATGTAGATTATCTAGACTTGATATCGCAAAGATACAGGGACTCCCATTGTGAAGTTAGATCTAGGAAAAAATCTTACATGTTCTTGTTTGCTTTTTATTACATGCAAGTGTGGCCTGGTTTGTAGTTTCAAATACTTAAAAAGCTAATGAAGAAACCAAAACAAACAGGGAGGCGGTTTCATGGATAATGAATCATTGAACCTACCAAGAAAATGATAACATAAGTCACCCACAAATTTAAGGGCCCCAAAACTAATATTACCCACATACACCAGTAATTTAAATCATTTGAATTAAAGATTATAAAGGAACTACTTGCATATTTAAAGTTCAGTATTTGCATAAGTCTTGGCAAGATCTGAATAACAAGTCAGAGAATTTGTTTCAAGTCTATCTTAAACACCTAGAAGGCATCCTGCATACAGTACCATCATTTACCGTTATTCTAAAGTCAGGGAATCAGCGTCAAATTTTCAAAAGACATATTTGTATATTTACATGCTTTTTTCCATCCTTTGAAGAGTTTCTCAATTATTATATCAGGAGTATTCACACATACAGAGGCTTGGGAAATGGGAAGACATGGCAGAACACAGAAGAACCGATCAGGCACGGTGTTAGATATTGCACATCATTTTTTCATATTTCAGAAGTGGTGCTACTAGAATGCAATTATAGTTTTTGGTTTGTCTTCATTATAATTTTTTTTTAAATATGAAGGGTACTTCACTGCTGCTCTATTCATACATTTCCCTAGAAATGTGAGGAAAGTCCAAATCCTTTTTTCTCATGTGTTGCTAGAGAACATCTTGAAGACCACAGAAAGCCAACACTGAGAAACTGAACATTTTAAGCTGAAGAAGATAGCACGAGTGGTCTTGAACCAAAGCAGAATTTGCCAGGTTAATTGGTCACTATAAAAAAATATTCATTACACCAAAAAGTTGAAGACTGAATCAAATGTTCATTATGCAAAGGAGCTTAAAAAATATAAAAATCCTTCAAATATTTCCCTATCCCAAGTATGTACATCTCTTTGGCACTTATAAATGCATGCAAACAGTCGCAAAAACATTTTATGAGATGTCCCAGAAAAATAAATGTGAATGATTTTGCATAGAATGGTTCCTGGAAATGTACCCAATGGTAGTAAAATTAATAATAATGTCAGTCTTACCTGGTCCCAGGGACAGATGATTCCTCCGAAACACATAAAGAGATATCCCATGGCAACAAGACATACCCAGACCACCAGAGAAAATACACGAAGCAGCTTCTTAAACACAGGTTCTATGCAGACAAGGATAAATATAGCAAAAAATATTGCTAGGGCCGTTGGAACAGTTATTAAAAACGCCACGTGGTCTTCAACTTCCTGGAAACAGAGGAAAATGAAAATGAAGTTAAAACCTAATACATTTAAAGGTCAGACAGAAATCATATACTCTAAGCTGATCACACATGGAGATCCCAGAACGACATGACTGAATATCAAAAGTGATTTGAATCAAAACAGGATTTCTTTCACTGTAAGAAGCTGTTACTTGGAGTAGTAACTTCATAAACAACTATTAACCACATTACTGCATTGTACTTCTTTTACTAAATTGAGCTGCAGGAGGCAGTGGGAAGGCTGTGTAACATCAGGGAGGCTGAGAGGCTGAGAAGGAGTAAGAAAGCTGGTTCCAAGTGCAGAGACTTCAGTGGACCTACAGCTACTGCCAGTCAGTCAAAAAAGTCCCACACCAGCACACAGGAGGAATAGAAACTTGCAACAGCAAGAACCTGCAGGAGGAAAAGGCTTCCCCTGAAGCACCTTCTGAAGGTGCAGAACCACTTCGCTGCTCTGCAGGCTGAAGAGGAAAGACCTGTCACAACAGGAGAGATGCTGGTGGTGAGTAAGGCAGCCCTCCTCGCCCTTGTGTGTAACAACCAGCACAGCTAGGTGATGGGTGACAGGCAACTTTCTTCTAAGGTGCACTGAAGCATCCGTTTGCTGACCTGAGGCACTCTCCAGATAGGTGTGCTGCTCACTGGGAGCTCATATCATGGGTGTCACCAAGACTCAGCTAAGCCTTGTACAGTCCACTATTATCTACTGGTGTTGTTTCAGGTGGGCAGCAGTGATACAAGCCAGGAGCAGTCTGAGGAGTATAAGAAAGAATCACCGAGCAATAAGGGACTCTGGAGTGAAGGCAGTTTTTCATCAGTTCTTCTAGTCAAAGGGAAGAGGGTTGAAAAGGCCAGCCAAATCTGGCACATCAATGAATGGTTACAGAACTGGTGCCACAGCCAGGGGTTAGTCTGCTTAGACCATGGGACTTGCTTTTAGAAACCCTGTCTGTTGGGGACTGATGGAGTCCATCTGTCAGAGAAGCGAAAGAGCATCTTTGGTCATGGGCTTGCCAAGCTGGTGAAGAGAGCTTTAAACTAAAGTTGTTGGGGTAGGAAAACCTCAATCTAACCCACTCCTACTCTGTTGCCAGTGCCAGCAAGAGATGCCCAGAACCTGCAGAGCAGTCACAGGTCAGCAGCAGAACACCTTAAGAGCAGCACAAAGGAATTCTAGGTACTCCAGACAGTAAGTCGGCTTTATCAGGGGTCCAACTTAAATGCTTCTATGCAAATTCACATAGCATGGGGAATACCTCTTGTCAACAAGAGGTTGAGAAGACGCTCAATACGACCCAGCAGTGTGCACTTCCAGCCAGCCGTATCCTGGGCTGCATCAAAAGAAGCGTGACCAGCAGGTTGAGGGAGCCAATTCTCCCCCTCTGCTCTCTTCTCATACCAGGAATAATGTGTTCAGCTCTGGGGCCCCCAACATAAGAAGGATATAGACCTGTTGGAACAAGTCCAGAGGAGGGCCATGAAGATGACTGGGGAGCTGAAGCACCTCTGCTATGAAGACAGGCTGAGAGAGTTGGGCTTGCTCAGCCTGGAGATGAAAAGGCTCCAGAGAGACCTTAGAGCAGCCTTCCAATACCTAAACAGGGCCTACAAGAAACTTGGAGAGGGACTTCTTACAAGGGCATGTAGTGATAGGACAAGGGGTAATGGCTTTAAACTGACAGAAGGTAGGTTTAGATTATGTATTAGGAAGAAATTCTTTACTCTGCGAATGGTGAGGCACTGGAATATGTTCCCCAGAGACACTGTGGATGCCCCATCCCTGGCAGTGTTCAAGGCCAGGTCAGACAGAGCCTTGAGCAACCTGGTCTAGTGGAGGATGCACCATCTACAGAACTAGGTGACCCAAACCATTTAATAATTATATGATACTATTTGAAGCAGATTAAGAAAACTATAAATCACAATACAGTAATGCACAGGGCCCATAAGACTGAGAAAATTAAAAGGCAAACCCAATCTGCATTAGTAGAATATTCTTTCTGCTCCAGAATTCAAAACATTTTTGTGATTAATGTGGTTTGTAGGTGAAATTCAAGCATCCCTACTGAATACTGCAGCTGTCAAAATGCCTCCCAAATCAACTATGTGACCATAATTCCATAAAAGCCTTTTTGACAGTGATATTTGCCAGGCACTAGACATTTTGCTTCTGTTTAAAGTACTTATCTGTAAGGACGGGCTTTAGACTACATATATGAGTTGTCTCACAGCAGCTGCTTACTTCAAAATGTTCTAACACCCAGAGTAAGGACTAGAATATAACTTGAAGAGAGATTCAGAATAAATAATATTTAAATTTTATTTACAAAAATTACATAGGAGTTACTACAGTAATATCTTTAAATCACCTAGTGATGGATGCATTAAAAATGAATAAATATTTGATTTTATATTCCTGTATGTGATCAAAAGCATCTCTAGCTGAATTAGAAGACCACTACATCAAAGACTAGTCATAGGATTTTACTCATTCACCCAGCTGTTATGAATTCTAACAGCCTCATTTGTACCAAAAGGGATTACAAAAGCAGGCCCCAAATGCTACTGCTGCAACTGCATAAAATCCTCCACTAACCATATACTTCATGCAGAAAAGCCTCGTATTCATTTTTCACACTGGTGAAATCTTGGGAACAATTTGAAAGTAGCAATTTGATGATGTGTAGGAAACCTAAGCTCAAAGAATTAACATTTCTTTCTCCCTCGTTTTGTAGTTTCTTCCTTAGTGCCCTGATAAGTCTTGTTTATGGGTTTTCAACTTAAGTACTTCACATTTTGCTTAAAAGCTTTCTTTTATGTGATTTTTTTTTTCTTTCTTATGCACTTGCTACACTTAAAGTTAGAGCAAAAACAGACGTGCTACAGTTAGAGCAAAACTAAAAATTTACTGGTAGATATGTAAATTTGCAAAAAAAAAAATTACAAAAATTTACAAATGGTGTCAGCAGTATTTTGTTGGGGATTTTGTTTGTTTTCCCCAGATTTAATAGGTTTTAGAACCTGACATCTATAGATACACTTGCAGTAAGGTTCTTTCCCCATCCTCTGTTCAAGCTTCTTTGTTTTCCTTGCTGCCCTGACTCTGTGTTCACTGCACATTGCAACCCCCTCCTGCTGCACTGGAGTCTGACCACTCTACTGGCTGCAAACCCAGCACCAACATGCCTGCACCTACTGCAGCACTGGGAAGCCCCTAGTACACATAGACCCACTCCAGAACCTCAAACAATCACCTTCACATTTCAGGAGAAGGGAGAGGAGCTGGGAGGTGCATATTGCCTTTCTGCAGAGCACATTAGCTGCGGTTCTACTCAGCTGCATATGGCCTCTAGCCCAGGACCAGCCACCATACCACCAGGTTTAAAGCAAGGGAAACACCATGATGAAATTATGTCCACATCTGATTGATTGTGCAGACTGCAGATTATCTTTCATGTACCCTACCCTGCCTGACAAAAGCCAGCCCATCTTTCTTCTTTCTTCCCTTTTAAATATAGGAAGTCACATATTTCAGCAATTATCACAGCACTGATGATCAAATATATAAGCAAAAGAAGAGTCGAGAAGCTGTATGAAATGGTGCTAACTTTGAAATGCAAATGCTAATCTTCCAAAGGCTTTTAAGCACTTGGTAGTTGTACTGAAAACAATCTTACAGGCTTAAAGTTAGGCATAGAGAAAAGTGACCACATGAGTACTGAACTGTACCAAGTAAGATACACGTAATCTTGCAAAGTACGAGACAAAATATAAACCTAACTAATAGCAGTAAGAACTACTGATTTATGTCTCCAAATTTTGTGATTTTTGATCATTCCCCTCTCTGCAATTTGTTTCAGTGAATTGATTTAATACTGTCACTACCAATGTCAGCCCAGATAACACCAAAAGTATTTAACTTCAGCCTTTGACTTCCGCATTTCTAAGTAGCATTGCAAAACTCTTCTTGCAAGGTCAGAGAAATGAGACCCTCTGCCAGTGACAGGACAACATTAAGTTCCTTGCACCATCTGTCATGCAGTCCAGGTCACGGCACGGCAGGAATCCACAAGCTCCTGTAGGAAGCAGAGACTCAGGAAAACCACAGATTGAAATGACGGCAAATTGGTATTTCAAACCAATGTGATGCTACACATACACTAGCACGAATAGCCACATGCATTTCAACAGTACACTTCTCCATGTCAGTAAAAATATAAAAGTACTTTACTTTCTAGAATGATCTTGTTTCATAACACATCAACAATATTTAGATTCCAGTTTAGAGCATATGTATGCTCATACAGCTAGATATTTCTATATGTATTCTATCGTTAGATCAATCCCTCAAAATCTTTGTTCCAAAGTAACAGCTAATCAGTCAATTTCTTTTTTTTAAGCGTATGCTGATCTCAACTCTTAGCTGAGCCATTTTGATCACTAAATCTAAAATTTCATTTCCACTCTCCCTTCTGCTGGTTGCCTACTGCACAATTTTGCCTCTTTTTTTTTCATTTAAATATGTGCAGAGAAAAAAAAAGAAAAAAAGACCACAATGTAGCAGCTTCTCCTCACAAGTAACTGTATGCAACCTCCTTGACTGCAGTGGGACATCACCTCTTTGAGCTGACTACACAATAACTTGCTTGCAGTGTCACAAGCTGATTGCTCTCACCCACACACTGTGTGAATTCTGAAGGAAAATTGAAATTTGAAGGCAGAATAGTACACTCATTAGGCAACTAAAAAACAAGAGAAAACAATTGGTATTACAATTTGGATCCTTTCCAGAAAGCCTGAATGTGTACAGGGGGATTTTTCACAATCCTGCCTTTAAAATACACATTAATGTCAGGTCAACAAAAGCAGGCTCGGAAGGCAGCGGTTTATTTGGAAACTACTTTTAACAGTATTACCCTATTGCTTCACAAGAAATAAATGTTTCTAAAATTGTAACTTTGAGAGAAAGACATTTAAAGCTTT